AGGGCGTCAGAGTATCTGATCCAGCCTGGGAAGACATGGGGCCGAGAGCGCGTCGTGCGCGGCGTGGACATCACGGGCCGCGACGGCAACAACCAGCCCTGCACCTTCAAGGACGCGGTGGAGGTGGTGCTCCACATCACCTCTTCGAAGACAGACCAGTACAATGTGGGGTGCGTGAGGAACCAACACCAGACGGGCACGTCACTGTGCCCCGTGGCCGCCGTCCGCCAGCTGGAGCAGCACTACCCGCAGAGGCTGCGAGGGAGCGAGGAGGAGCTCCCGCTCTTCCGCTGGGCGAGCGGCGCACCTATCCGCCGCGAGGAGGTGCAACACTACTTGACGATCGCGGGGCAGGCTGCCGGGCTGAGGAAGGAGGAGATCGGCTCACGCAGCCTCCGCATCGGAGGCGCAACGGCGATGTACCACGCCGTGGACGACCTGCAGCGCGTCAAGCGCTTCGGGCGCTGGGCCTCCGACAGCTTCCACGGGCACCTGTGGGAGAGCCATGAGCCCATGCGCGGCATCTCGACCGACATGGCGACGGACGCGTCCGAGCTCACGGCGCCGCCGGCCCACGCGGCCGAGGGCGAGCGCCGTGCAGGCAAGAGCCCGACCTCACTGTGGCCCAGAGCGGCGCTGGCCGCGAAGACGCTCGCCGCCACGGCTGGCGGCGCAGACGGCTACGTGATCAAGGTCGACCCGGCGGAGAGCCAGAGCCTGCTGATCTTCGTGCTCCCGGTCGGCTTGGGGGCGTGGGCGATGACAGCGGGGGCGCTGCTGGCAGTGGTGCTGTTAGGCGCCGTTTGGCAATACAGGCAACAGCGAAGGAGCGGACGGGCGGCCGGTGGGCACAGCGGCGACCGCAGAGCCCGCAACCCCCGGGCAGGCATGCTGTGCGCAGCGCTGGTGGTGACGGCACTCGCAACGGCAGCTGGGGAGAGACAGAGCCAAGAGATGGCAGCAGTCGACGACAGGGCCCAGGGGGTCACGCTTCGCTGGGAGCCGCAGATGGGCACGGTGGCGATCGTCTTCCCAGTGGAGACGGCGCTGAAGGTGGTGGCCACGATTGCAGTGCTGCTTGCAGGGAGTGTCGGGGTGCTCTACTGCTGCTGCTGCGGGATGGCCAAGAAGAGCGAGAAGATGCTGGAGCCAGAAGCACAGCAGGCCACAGTGCAGCCGACGCCCAAGGCGCCCAGGCTCCCCAAGCAGCCGCAGAAGACGCACTGCGACGCAGGAGTGATGGGCCCGGTACACTACAACGGCGTGAGGTACGTGCACGAGACCCAGGGCTTCCGCCGGGCCAACGAGGTGACACGCGAAGTGGCCCCGTCAGGGCACCGCGGGTCGCCCGAATGGCCCCGGGGAGGAGAGCAGAGGCCGCACCGTGACTGAGGTGCGGGGCTGCCGCCGGCCAATGGCCGAGCGGGCAGCGGAGGTCCGCCGCCGGCAACCGCTGTGCAGGCGGCCACGCGGCGCCGGCTGAGTTCAGCCTGGCGCTCGCGATCAACGTTGCGCTTGCGAGCAGCTGGGCGCAGGCAGCGGCCGCTGGTGCCCGAGGGCAGAGCGCCGCGCCGGCCCAGCACCGGCAGTGCCGTCATGAGGGGACGGCGGTGGCGGCTACGAGGGGGCGCCGGCGGCCAGCCCAGCCAGGGCTGCCGCACGGGGCGCATGAGGAACCCCCGCGGGCGCCGGCGGCGTGCCGCCCTGCGCCTGCGGACCCACCTTGCTGGGCGGACGTGGCAGCTTGCCGCAGAGGTCCGCCGCGGGCAGCCGCCGTGCGGGCGGCCACGCGGCGCCGGCTGAGTTCAGCCTGGCGCTCGCGATCAATCTTGCGCTTGCGAGCAGCTGGGCGCGGGCGGCGGCAGCTGGTGCCCGAGGGCAGAGCGCCGCGCCGGCCTGGCACCGGCAGTGCCGTCATGGGGGACGGCGGTGGCGGCTACGAGAGGCGCCGGCGGCTAGCCCAGCCGGGGCTACCGCCTGGGCGCATGAAGAACCCCCGCGGGCGCCGGCGGCGTGCCGCCCTGCGCCTGCGGACCCACCTTGATGGGCGGACGCGGCAGCGTGCCGCAGAAGCCGGGACTGTTGAGTTCTACGCCGGGAAGATCGGCGACTGCGTGACCCACTACAGCCAGTTTGGCGTGGTGGGGTGCTCACAGGAGGAGGTGGGCGGCGTGGCCCGCGACGCGTGGCCTAAGACCGGCGCCGGCGCGTGATGCGCCGGGCGCCAGCGGAGCAAGCAGCATTGCTCCTTGGCAAAAGGTCATCATCATCGTCTGAGGCCGCTCCTCCCTTTGTGCCTCCTCTCTTGAGCCGACACTAGGCTCAAGACGTTTTAAGTTCCCAGTGCTGCTTGAGGGGATATCTAGGATGTTTGGTAAAACTGATAGATCTCCCCGTTTCCAGGACTGGCGCGGGCTTTCTCCCTTGGTCCCCTCGCTCCTGCCCTTGCCTCTTGCTTGCCCTCTTCCCCCCTTCTTTCCCACCGCCGTTCGGCGGCTCAAGCCTTTCGAGGCCAAGCTGGCCCACCCTTGGGGCCCCATTGGGGGCCCCATTACCCGCCCTGTTCTGGACTTTTACAGTGCCGCCAAAGCGCTACAGTGCCTTGGCGGCGGCGTGGCCCGCGACGCGTGGCCTAAGACCGGCGCCGGCGCGTGATGCGCCGGGCGCCAGCGGAGCAAGCAGCATTGCTCCTTGGCAAAAGGTCATCATCATCGTCTGAGGCCGCTCCTCCCTTTGTGCCTCCTCTCTTGAGCCGACACCAGGCTCAAGACGTTTTTAGTTCCGAGTGCTGCTTGAGGGGATATCCCAAAGGAGGCAGGTTGCACATCGCCGGGTGGTCCGTGTGCGGGATGTTTGGGGACCGGCAGCTTGCTGGGCTAGGTAAGGAGTGCCTTGCGAGGGCTACTCCCACCCTCTGCGTTTACCTCGCACGAACAGGACATGGGCTGTGGGCTCATGTTTACAGCTAAGCCGAGACGGCCAAGCAAGTCCACCTGGATTCCAAATGATGTCAAACCTTTGGAACAGTACCCCGGCACTCACATGATCTTTCTCAGGAGTGTATGCTCACACTCTGCCACCCAGCTGGCTGACGTCGGCCCAAGCCAGGCCCTTCCGTCCGCCGTCCAACCCGTCGAAGAGCAATATAACGTCGACGCTGTCCCTTTCAACTGGACGTTTTGTCGCCGACGTTGCGGGACGTGTGTCGAGATTGGGACGGGGCGCGTACTGCGCGCGCGAAAAGGGCGGAGTGTTTCCCTGGCCCAGGCGCCGCACTCGTTTCCTCAGAAGTGAGCTCTCGCTTCGGCGCGGCCCACATCTGTCGCTCGACAGTGCGGCGACAGCGCGGTCGCGTGCGAGCGGGCAGCATGTAGCTCTCGCCCAAGGCCGCGCAGACTTCGCTTGAAAGTTGCGCTCTCGCCCAGGCGCAGCGCATCTTCTCCACTCGCCCAGTCATGGGGAGCGGAGCGGCGCCGCGCGCGAGCGGACGAATATTCTCCGTGCGGCTTTCGAGCAGAAAGGGCGTTGCCGCTTGCCCGCTTGAGCGCGACGTACGTGTTTAGCCCGCCGAGCCTCCGAAGGCGACAGCGCGGCCGCGCCCGAGCGGGCGAAAGTGGACGTGCAGATCTCACGCGGACGTGCCAGTGCTACTTCTCGGGGCGGCGCGTGCTCTGACGTGGCCACTCTCATCCAACATCCGCCCGCGCGATGAAGGGCTGAAATAGTTCGTGCCCCTGCCGAGGCGCCCCGCGAGCGCTGCCTCGCTCCGCGCCCGCCTGAGCGCGGCCCCAGGTCTCCTCCTCGCCAGAGCAAGCCCATGCCGAAGCAGTCCAGGCCCTCGGGGCCTTCCCTACGGCCTGCTCCTGCTTCGGAAACGCCCAAGGGTCGTACTCTAGAGGCCTGCACGGAGGCGCGGAGCAGGGGGCGCTGGGAAAAACTCAAAAAGGCATTTTGCGCATATGACGTTTGCCTTCGTAAACACACGCTCAAACATGATCACAACTCCTTCTCGCAATGTTCGGTCGCGCCGGCATTGCCGCAACGACGCGGCGCCCGCAAGGCCATGGCGCCGCAGCTGGCCCTCCTCTCGGACCGGCCGCGAGCGAGAGCGAGGGGGAGCGCTCGAGGCGCCGGACCCCGCAGCGCGCGGGCAGGCGCTGCCAGCCCAGCACCGTCGTGCTGCCCCCGTGGCCCGTGGGAGGCCAGGAGCAGACGGCATCGCAGCGGCACGTCGGCTCGAGTCGCAGTGTACGTCGGATCGGGCTGCGTCGGGGTCGAGGCGGGCTCGGCGAGGCTGCGCCAGGATGCACACCCACGCCGTGCCCGATCGGCGGGATGTCGGAATCGAACCAGGCCGGGCCGGCCGAGAGCGACACCGAACGAGATCGATCGGCGATCGGATCGAACACGGGCCCTGCGTGAACGACGGGGCCCCCCCCGCAGCCGGAGCTCGACAAGAGCTCCGAGGCGGCGGTGCCGACGAGACGTGCACCCCGCCATGGCTCAGGACCCAGCTCAGCCCAGTGGCAAGGGAGACCCCCCCTCCCCTCTGCCCAGAGCACCCCCCCCTGCCCCCAGCTCCTCCCCGATGCAAGCTCCCTTCTCTTCCGCCCTCCCTGCCCATCCCCGAAGTACCGTCTTCTCCCGCTCCGACGGCCTCCATACCGGGAGGTCCGCGGGGGACATTGCGGCAGAAAGAGCGCTCACAATGCATTTGTATCCAAGATCCGCGAGGCGCTCTTGCTTCACGGCGCCTGGACACCCTCGATCTCTTAACGGCCGCCCCTGCTCCTTCAGACATAGGAGGCGGAGGAGGGACCAACAAGCAGCACGTACACTGATCGGGACCTGCTGGGGCCTGGCAGACATGACTGCAGAAGAGAAAGAGGGCGGACGAGAAAGGAGCACGGGAAAGAGCGTGTGAGAGTGGCGGCTGCGTCTAGAACCACGCACAGGGGAACCAATGCAATGCGTACGACCCGTTTGGGAAGCGCAGTCGCCTCCGCCATGCCAGCTGCACCTTTCTCCTCTTCTTTCATCTTCATCATCACCTGCTTCGCAGTCTTTTTCAGCTTAGGGCTCTGCAGCTCATCACGCATCAGCTGGAACAAACCTGCCCTCTGCATGTCGAGAGTGCTGTCCTTTCCGAACAGCTCCTTTACGCTCTGACCTTGGTGCTTCTGCAGCAGGCGCCTCGCATTTGAGCTTTCACAATACAGCTTCAGCAACTGCGCCACAAATGCCTTTGCACCTGTTGACATTGCTGGTACCACGTTTGCAGCGGATGGGTCCTCTCCCTCTGCGCTTTTCTCCAAGGGCACCTTGTCCTCGTGCCCGTTCTGCTTCGCGAAATCCAAAATATGCTTAAACAGTGGGTACTCGTCTCGCGCCTTATCTTCCTCTATCACCTCCAAGAGCGCAATAGTCTTCTCCATTAATCTCATCTCGACCCGCTGATACTTCGTTTCTGGGTTTGCGCCTTGGTTTGTGGACTTCCTTTCCCCGGTGGTCTTCCGTTCCAGGTACCATGCGATCCTCGGGCACCACCAACGTATTTCAGGGGCGCGCAAACATGGATTAGCAAACCATGGATTTGGCGCGCGGTCGGAAAATCCATGGATCGGGGGAGGTGCCCTCCCCAAAATGTGGCCGGTGCCGCCTCGCCCGGCGGCGGAAACCCGCGATTTCCCATGGAAACGGGACCCGCCGCTAATCCACGCCCCCTTGATCTGTGTTTGCGATCGCCTGAATGTTCCTTTTCCTTCCCTCCCCCTCCCCCCACGCCCTATTCCTGCCCCTGCCCCTCCTTATCCTTCTCCTGCTCATCCTTCTCCTGCTGCTGCTGCTGCTGCTGCTCCTCCTCCTCCTCCTTCTCCTCCTCCTCCTCCTCCTCTGCGTGTGCTGCCGCTCCTCCACGTCCGCAGCTCCGCGTTGAACCTCATCGCTCGGCCGATCGAGCCTCTCGGCACGTCCGGGGACTCGTCTGTCGGCACGTCCGCGGACCCCCCTTTCGCCCGGCCCGATTCTGGCTTGTAGTTCTTGGTCAAGACCTGGAACACCCTATTGGCTGGAGAAAGAGAAATCGGCATGCACATCAACTTTTGGATGTCCGCCCTGACTTCTCGGATCGGCGCCGGGCCCCTCCTCCTGGCGCGCGGAGCTCGCTACGGGCGGCGCCGGAGACTCCGCCGAGATGGCCCAACCCAAGAAATCCGCGCGGAGTTCCGAAAGTTTATGTTTGTGCACTTGTTTCCTCTTTGACCTATTGATGCTCTCGACAGCTCTGACCCAACTGCCCATCTTTACCTGCTCGTCGGGCCTCTTGTGCGAGGGGGGCTTCCTGAGCTGCGCCTCGATCCACTCCATGCCCCCCTCGTCGTAGCGGAGTGCGTCCAGCTTGGCGCGGACAATGTCGGTGTATCCGCCACTGTGCCCCATGGCACGTCGAGGCGTGCTGGAACGCCCAATGCTGTCTGGCAATGTTTCTGTAATCTTCTAAAGGCCCCCCACTCTTGCTTACGCCTCGCCGCATGCATCGCCCCCCTCTCCCGATGTTCTCTGGGTGCTCCAGCGCCTCCCTGGGGCACTCCGACGTGTCCAAGATGCCCAATACGGCTTCTCCGACGGCCCAGGCAGGGCACCAAAGTCGCCAAGATCTCTCAATATGCCTCCACGACAACCCATGATGGCCCAAGATGGCCCAGGATGGCCTCAAGACTGTCCAAGGGGCTCTCAAGACGGCCCAAGCGGGCTCCAAGAGGGCCCGAAGAGGCCAACGTACCCAATGTCCCTTGTATTTTGAATGGATGTTCGCTTTCGAATCTTTTCAGGCTTGCGTCAGCTCAAGACGGCCCAAGTGGCACCCAAGACTGCCCACGAGGGTTCCAACATGGCCCAAAAGCGGTCCAAGAAGATCCCAAGTCGGCCCAAGGGAGCCCTCAGACGACCCTCAAGGTCCCCGAGAGGGCCCGGAGAAGACCGGGAGAGCCCCACAAGACGGACTCGGAAAGCGCCAAGACGGCCCAAGAGGGCCTTCAGACGGCTCAAGGCGCCAGCAAGAGCCTCCGAGACGCCCCCAAAACGCTGCCACGAGGCCCCAAGAAACCCTCAAGAGGCCCCAAGAGGCTCCCCAAAGGCACCCAACAAACCCCCAGGGCCTTTGAGAGGCCCGAGCAGTCACCCGTAACGGCCTAATGTGCACCCATCGCACAGTCGCCGCCCAGAATGCTGCGCTGGCACGGTGGCCGGATTTGCCGCAGGCAGCAGGATATCTGGAAGCCCGCTGCGTCTGGGCATAACGAGTCAGCCAGAAGGTGGGCTCTGTGAGCCAAAAATGGCCCATTCGCATTGTCATTGGCAGGACATCGCACTATGATTCCAATGTCCTGCGCGGTGTTGCACAGAGGCGGCAAGAACTGTCGGCGGGCAACAACACAAACAAGTTTTTCGTGTCTCGTGGTCAAATGGATTTCCCATAAACTCCATGCAGCGATGTCGCCGGTGAGGTTCATGCGCTTCTTGCGCTGCCGATAAGTGCCTATGTGGTCCGCTGGCACCGTGCCACCCAGCGCGTTCCACATCAAGGAAGGGGGTAGCGACGAGAAGGACGACGACGACGTAGGAGGAGGAGGAGGAGGAGGAGGAGGAGGAGGAGGAGGAGGAGGAGGAGGAGGAGGAGGAGGAACAAGTTTCTCGTGTTTCGTGGTCAAATGGATTTCCCATAAGCTCCATGCAGCGACATCGCCGGTGAGGTTCGTGCGCTTCTTGCGCTGCTGAGAAGTGCCTATATGGTCCGCTGGCACCGTGCCCCCCCAGCGCGTTCCATATACAGGAAGGGGGTAGCGACGAGAATGACGACGACGATGTAGGAGAAGGATGATGAGGAGGAGGAGGAGGAGGAGGAGGAGGAGGAGGAGGAGGAGGAGGAGGAGGACCAGTGGAAACTCAAGAGTCATCAACGATGTTGGAAGTAACCCTCCCCCCAAGCTCCCACTTCATATGCCCCTACAACGGTTAATTCCCATTGAGGGAACTGCCTCGCTGGAAGACAACCGTTTGAAGATCCTGAGGCGTGCCAAAACATTGTTTTCAGGATTGCAACGCCACGTATCAACCTGACTGCTGCGTCTTGACGATCCAGCATCATACCAGAACGCCGTTTTTTGACTTCAACACAGCGAATCAACATAACGTTTGCGCCCGCATAATCCTGAATCCTTCCAAAACACAACTTCTGGTTCGCTGATCATGGGAACCCGTTAGAATCTTGCAAGTTTTAGAAACGAAGCTGCGCGGCGCCAGTGCGAGAGCCACACTTTGAAAAAGAACCGCCCTCAACCCGTGAAACCCTTGCCAAGTTTTACAACGAATGTGCGCGGCGCAACGGCGAGAACCACATTTTGAAAACGAACCGCCCTCAACCCGTGAATCCCTTGCACATGTTTAACACGAGTGCGCGCGGCGCTAAGGCGAGAACGACATTTTGAAAACGAACCGCCCTCAATCCGCGGAGCTCTTGCAAATTTTAAAACGAGTGTGCGCGGCGATATGGCGGTAGCCACATGTTGAAAACGACCCCCCCGATCCGTGAAACTTGTGCAAATTTTCAACATGAATGTGCGCGGCGCTATGGCGGGAGCCACATGTTGAAAACGACCCGCCCACAACACGTCAAACTCTTGCAAGTGTTTAAACGAATGTGCACGGCGCTAAGGCGAGGGCCACATTTTGAAAGCGACCCACCCTCCATCTGTGAAGCTGTTGTCATTGTTAGCTTCAGAACCATAAACGGTGAGAAAGTCTCAAGCGAAACGCCCGGCCCGCCCTAAAAACTGGCCTCGGGGTGCGACAGGGAAGAGTTATCTATTAGGGGAAGGAATGGAGGAGGAGGAGGAGGAGGAGGAGGAGGAGGAGGAGGAGGAGGAGGAGCTTTGCAACGCGACAGCTTCTTGCCAGCAGCTGATCGCTGAGCTCAGCGGGGGGGTGAAATGACGGTCCTCCCTTGGGAGAAACTGGACATGCCTTTCTCTCTTTCGCTGCTGGTTGTGCTTGTCTCTGGCGACGAAGGACCCGGCTGTGCGTCCTGCACCAAGCATCTCTGCGCCTTGACAAGGATTTCCCAAATTGACTATCCTGCCGCCCGGGCAAGAGGCAGTCCACACATATGCATAAAACAAGAACCGTCCGAGCAATCCACCACTGCACAACGAAGATTCACACAGGCGATGAGCTCCGCATTGAAGCGAGGAAGATTAAAGCAACGGCCAGGGGAAGGCCTGTCCACTCCCTCTTTCCTCGCGAACAAATATGACACTGCTGCCCGGGTCGCACCCCGTTCCAGCAGTGAGCTTCAGACGCAGCCTTGCCTTCGAGAGTGGGGGCTTACTTGAATGCGGCGCAAATTCTCGATCTAGGCCGCTGCGGCCAGGGCGCAGAACTCCCCGGACTGTGCAGGCTGAGGAAAACGAAACCAAACAGAACCACGGCACCATCCCATGGGCCCCATGAGGGGCCCCCCGTCGGAGATCCTGGCGAGGGCCCAACCGGCCCGATAGATTCCCTGGCGGCCGACTTATAACAACTCCAATCCAGAAAACAACATGCCTGGAAAGGCCCGCAGGACCCTAGTGCTGCAGGTCTGCCTGTCCCAACCCCTCCTCGAAAGCCTCCAAAACAATAGCATCCATGCCGCGTTGCTGAACGTGGCCAGAAACAAAATCGCCAGAGTGAGGGAAGGCCCCCGTGAGGAACGAGATGAGGTCCTGCGAGCCCTCCTGGAACGCCCCAAAAGCCTCCTGGATAAGCGGGCCATCTGCCTTCCCGTTCACATGTTCATCGCGCGCTGAAGACTCCCAGATACGGTGGAGCAAAGAAACCTTCTTGCGCTGGCACAGGGCACAACTATCGTCGACCTGATCTCCCGCGACCGCCGCGGGCGCATGATTCCAATGGGCATTGCGCACAACATATCGGATGCTTTTTCGCGCGGAGACAACGCTTTTGGACTTCAAGGCAGTCGCGATCGGATCGACATAGAGCCTTGGGGCCGCAATATCAGCCTCAGCGTCTACAGCAGCTAAGCTCGCAGCCAACCGGGCCGACTCCAGCGCAGAGTCCACGCCGTCGTGGATGCCTGCTTGAACCAAATTCTGGAGGGCGACCCTCTCCAGACTCCTTAGAACTGCAGTGTGCAAACGAGACTTGATGAGCGCAGAGCTCAACGGGAAGACAGGGCATGTTGTTGCCTTGATCGTCTGGGAAAAAACCGCAGGGCTTTCCATGAACCGATTGATGCGCCGAAGAGATAACGCCATGACTGACATTTGGGCCCGAAGCAGCCTTCCGGGACAGCGTTGCCAACTTGTGGGGCCCTCGAAGACCACGCCCCAACCGCGCCGAATGGAACGCCGATCCAATCGCCCACGAAAGCTCCAGGACCTTTGTTGCCTAGTCTCCATGCTTGAAGGGCCAAACCAGCGCAGACCGAACAGGCTCTCCCCCAAAGAGACTGATCGTGGTGATAGATCTGCTGCCGGCAAAGGGTTAGACCACGCTGGCAGCTCGGCGACGAAGTTGAAGTGCATCAGTGTCAGCCATTCCTGTCACTTCTGAACCGTTGCTGTAAGCAGTGGGCGGGCCATGCACAAACGTCTTGATAGTTGTCCTGCTGGCGTAGCCCTGCGCGGCCTTGGGTCGACGGGTCTTTCTGAGGTGGCATATGCTGGGGGCCCTCTTGACCAGTTTCTGCTTTTCTCCCGACCTGAAGCTGGCGCCCGCCGAATCGCCCGCGCCCGGGCTGACGGCCGGTGGCCTCAAGCCGCAACTTCAATCTCCAAGACGAGCTGCGACGGCCTTGCCCAGGACTGGGCAGGAGCAGATGACGGTTGCGATAGCGTGGGAGAAGAGGGGGGACATGGGGATGACAGAATCTATGGCGGATCACCAAGAAACGGCAACGGAGAGACTGGCACGTTCGACCTGGGCGTCGAAGCTGCGAGGGCGGGCCGGCAATGCTGCTGGCGAGGGGCGCGCGAAGGGCAGAGCGGCGCGCGGCGGCGCAGACGTTGACGAGCGCGGGCGGGAACTGGTGCTCGGCGCCCCGGAGACGAAGGGCTTCGACACTGATTTCTTCGCAGTGCCTGGGCGTATCCCAGAGGGCCGATGCCGAGTGGGGCCCCCGACGCATAGCAGATCCAGTGCGAAACGATCCCCTCCTAGCGGTGCCCATGGCTCCGCATTGTTTTCCCGCCGCGAAGTAGCCCCCTGGCGTTGTCGGGCGGGCGGGCCGCCACTCGTCGCGAAGCGCGCCCCCTGCTTTCCCGCGCGCGCGGCGTGGGGGGGGGGCGCTCCGATTGGGCGGCGCCCTCAAGCAGCTGCGCGAATCTGGGATGGAAGCTCTCTGGCGCTCTCCATCGCGCTGGAGATCTCGATGGGAGCGGGGCGGTAGTCGTCGCCGAGGTACTGGCAGCTCCGGACATGGGGCCCGCCGGCGGAGACCACGCCCATCTCTGGGTAGGCCCTGCCGAGATCGCGCAGGTCCAAAGCGCCGATGGGCGGCGAAGCGGGGGCCTCTTGGGCCCCGACAGAAGGGGTGGACGAACCAACGCGCCGCGGTTATTCGACCCGCTGGCCCCCCGGTCAATTCAACTCTGGGGGGGTCGGAAAAGGCCGCCCCCTTTCCGAGCAGGGGGTGGTGGGCTGGGGGAGTCCAGGTGCGAGGGGCCATCGTTGGCCGAATGCGCTTTCTTCGCGCCCTGGTTCATTCTCCCGTTCACCGCGCATGCCGATTGGCAGGCTTCCCATGGTGCTGAATGCACTCAGTGAGACATGCTCCCTGGTTGATGTGGGGCCCCTCGAGCTCTTCGAGATGCTCCTGGAACGCGGCCTCCTCCGACCAACCCCGGAGAGCGCCCCGAACCGAGTCAAGGCGCGAACGGAGTTCCCGCCGGCGAGAGCGAGGCCCATCAGAAGCTCCACAGAGCACATGGAGAAGGGATTCGGCACGTCTGGCGCCAATCTCTCCCGGGCCCGACGCCGCGGCCGAGGGCCCAGACAGAGCCCGGGCGGAGGCCGGCCGGGACGCGCGCAACTGACGGGGGGCGGCGGATGCCCCCGGCGCCCCTTCGGAAGAAAAGAGCGCCAGACAACCTCGGGGCCCTCGCCCCCGCCTCCCCCTTTTCTGGCGCGGGGGCTCCGCCGCGAGGGCCGCCTGCGGCCCCTCCTCAGAACGGCCGGCGCAATGCGCGCAGGCGCCATGCAGAAGGCGATCTAGATGCCCTGAGCCCCGGGCAGAGATGGCATCTCCACGCGGGGCCGAAAGTTTCGAGCTCGAGTTAAGGAACTTTCGACCGAGGAGGGGGGCCCGGAAGAGGGGCCACGGCAAGACGAAGGGGGTTCCTACAGACCACATTTGCAAGCTCCCCAGCCGGGCGCGGGGCTCCATGGGGTTCGCCGCGCGGGGGCCACATAACCCTTTTTCGCGCAGTCTTGCGCCGGCTCGGCTCCCTGGGCCAGGCCTGCAGACGCGAAAATGACATC